GCGGGTCTCGAACCCGTGGGCTCAGGCAATTCACTCACCTCAGCCTCCCAAAGGTGCGGGATTACAGGCTGAGCCACCGAGCCTGGCTAGGTTTTTGATTTTTTGTAGAGAGGAGGTCTTGCTATTTTTCCCAGGCTGGTCTCAAAGTCCTGAACTCAAGCAATCTTCCTGACTTGGCCTCCCAATCTACCAGGATTATGGGCATGAGCCACCTTGCCCTGCCTTAGTTTACTTTTTTGTTTTGAGACGGTCTCGCTCAGTCAACCAAGATGGAGTGCAGTAGCGTGATCAACGGTACACTGCAATCTTGACCTCCAAGGCTCAAAGAATCCTCTTCCCTCAGCCTCCCAAGTAGCAGGATTATAGGTGCACACTACCAAGCCCAACTAGTTTTAAAAATTTGTAGAGATGGGATCTCGCTATGTTGCCCAGGCTAGTCTTGAACTCCTGGTCTCAGGTGATCCTCCCACCCCTCAGCCTCCCAAAATGCTGAGATTACAGGTGTGAGCCACTGCACCTGGCCTCAATTTACCTTCAGACTTCTTGAGGGACAATTTTATGATGACCTATTTTAGACTTAATGTCTTTTTAAAAAATCTCCTATGCCATAGGATTTACAGCAACGAGTTTGGTATTCAATAATTGTTTTTTTTTTTTTTTGAGTTGGAGTCTCACTCTGTTGCCCAGACTGGAGTGCAGTGGCCACTCCTGGCCATGGCAGCCTCGACCTGCTGGGCTCCGGCGATCCTTCCTCCTCAGCCTTCCGAGTAGCCGTAATTACAGGTGTGTGCTACCAAGCCCAGCTGATTTTTTGATTTATTGTAGAGATGAGGTCTTGCCAAGTTGCCCAGGCAAGTCATGAACCCACGGGCTTGGACAGTCCACTCACCTCAGCCTCCCAAAGTGCTGGGATTACAGGCTGAGCCACCGAGCCCGGCCAATAAATTTTTGTTTTAAAAGTTAGCTGAGCGTGGTGGCACGTGCCTGTAGTTGGAAGGCTGAGGCAGAAGAATCACCGGAGCCCAGCATCGAGGAAGCAGTGGCTGTGAGTGTGCCACTGCACTCCAGCCTGGGCAATAGAGTGAGACTCCAACTTAAAAAAAAAAAGGTTTATCAAAAAAGGCTTCACTGAAAGAGACTGTTGCAGAAACATCTGAAAGAGATGAGGGGTGAGCTAACTGACTATAGGACAAAGAACTTTCCAAACTCAGGGACCAACAAGTTCAAAGGATCCAAGGCCAGAGTAGTTGAAGCAGGGACAGAGGAAAAGTAGCTGGAGACAGATGAGAGAAATTAGGGGGAGGTGTGGGAGGGATCATGTGGGACCTTATAGCTTTTACTCCTTTTTTT